GGGCCTGATGGTGAGAAGGCCTATGTTCGACTGGCTCCTGACTATGACGCTTTAGATGTGGCCAACAAAACTGGAATCCTCTAAAGCGAGCCCAGCTGGCTAACGCTAAATATAAACTTCTTAAAATAAATAAATGTTGTTCCATTTCCAGTGTGAAAGAGCAGATACCACTACTTTAGGACCCAAGGTGCATCTCACACAAGCCATGGTGTTCTCAGTTGCATCATAGGCATGTGAAACTTGGACAATGAATAAGGGAGACTGGAGAATGGATACCTGTGAATTGTGGTGTTGGTGGTAAATAATAAAATAATCTCTCTGGGAGGAAGTACAGCTAGCAAGCTCCTTATAAGCTCCTTAGAGAATGGCGGGGCTTTGTCTCATGTACTTTGGACATGTTATCAGAAGAGACTAGTCCCTGAAAAGTGAAATCATGCTTGCTAAAGCAGAGGGTCAGACCAAAACAGAAGGCGGCCCTTAACTAGATCGATTGACACCGTGCTGCAACAATGGACTCAAACATTGAAGCATACATACAGGAGGATGATACCGGCGGACTGGGTAGGATTTTGTTCTGTTGTACTTAGGGTTACTATGTGGTGGCGCCAACTCCAAGGCATCTGCCAGCAATTATTCAAGGCTCAGCTCACGTGGCGCCACTAAGCCCCGGGGCCCTGCTCAGACCAACAATGGCTTTCCTTTCCCGACCTCCTGGACTGTGTATGGCTTGTTCCATTTTCAATCTGCACTCAAATGACTTTCCACTTTTACTTAGGTTTGTTAGCTCTGGAAGACAGAAGAAGTACCTTGCAATGAATCCTCTGGGACTTTTAAGACTTTTTTTTCTAGTAAACATGACAAGAAATAGCCATCTTTGAACGAACAAGGACAATAGTAGTGTATTTTTCGGTATGACAAATACATAATCTTTCTCTCAAAAATGAATTACGTAGTTATCCAAGTTAGGCAAACTTCAGTATAGGGCTGCTACACTCTTGCGGAGCACAGGACCATACCCTGTTGCGCTAGTGCACCTGCTGCATGGACATGCACTCAGCAGGCTCCGCTACATACGGTGACCACACTGCGGGCTGTGCGCTGAGAGGTAGAAGCCTCAGTGCCGTCTTCAAGCCAGCGTCCACCATTCATACTCACTCGCCATCTAACCTAAGTTTTTTTTTTTAATACTAGTTTTTAAAACTTGTGTATCGGGGGGTGGGGTGTTCCAGTTCTGACCCTCAGTTTTGTGTTCACGTGGCTTGTCGAGGCCCCCACCTCAGAGCTTACGCTCTCCTCCCTGCTTTCTCTTCTCCCTTGTGTTTTATAAACCTCTTCCCCACGTTACTAGCTGTTAACCCTCTAGCATACTGCTTCCTTTTCTCTCCCAAGTCCTCCCTCCCTCGGTCACCTCCAAAGTTGGCTCCCTTTAGATGGAAATCAATCTTGGTTTCTTCTTCTTATAAACAATGGCATCATACACTATTTGTCCTTCCGTCATTGACTAATTTCACTCAAAATGATGACCTTGTGATCCATCCAGGCCATGAAGTGCTTCATGGCTTCCTCATTTTCTCAGCATGGCATTGGTACATGTGCCAAAATGTCTCCATCCATTCTTCTACATTAGGGTTTCTCCCATCTTCCTGCTGCTGTGAACAAGATCTGAGCTCACCTTTTGAAGGACGCAAACACATCTGTTCCAGCACCTCATCACTCCACTCTGAAACCCCTGCCTTTCCACGGGTGGTCCAGTGAATGATAAACGCTCCATCTTAAAGCTCTAGCACAAAACCCCGTTTTTAAATATTTTACTTTGCCTATGGCTTTCACTCTCCTATTCCAATCAAGGTGAATTCCAATTAAGCTATCATCGACCAAGCAGCTTGTTAGAAGAGCTGTAAGAGCCCCCAATAATTTTTTATTTTTAAAGAAGCATCAGCGGACTTCTGAGAAGAAAAGTTCTGCTCAGGTCCCAGATTGAGCAGAGGTTACCATCTCTCATTTGATACTATTTGCTTTCCATGCCCTGGCAAATGTTCCAAACCTGTGATTTCTGTCAAGAACGATGACAACAGGTGTCAGGAACACCCAAAATTAGCCTCATCTGCCTTTCAGCAGACAGGTTCATCTGAGTGTGAAACAGTGGCTCTGCCCTCTTTTCGACGTGCGAGTGCATGGTGGGCACCACTGATGGAAGGAAGGAGCAACTTACCGTTCTGGAGGCAGCCACCGGCGGTGGTGCTGCTGGGTGGGTGGCACTCTGGAAGGAAGGTAGGCAGAATCTCTGGTTTATTTCCGGAGGGGAAGAGGAGGCATAGATTCGATTTTCCAATCGCTCAGGCTCATGCTTATAGGATTCCAGGGGAAACGTGTTCTGCTTGGTCACCTGGGTGGGTGTAGATGGAGACGAGGAGAGGCCGGAAGCTGGGAAAAGGAAACACCAGAAAGCTGTCAGAAGGCTGGCTGCAGGTGAGGAAGGCAGAGAACGCATCTTTTGTTACTAAGTGCTTAGCAGTTCAAATGACCAACATCAATAGTGTTGGAATCTGAATATTGATGAAAAGCTTTGGTAAGCATATGTCTAATCCTTTGGAATCAGTTATGTCCAGAAATTCCCTTATCATTCAACTTGCTTTGAAGAAAAGCCTCCCTGTTGGCAGAGGTGCTCAAATAGTACAGACACTACCTGGAAGATGGCGTCTTACGCACACGTATCACATACTATTTTCCTCCAGTGCCAGATATTGTTTGGTGTCTTCCTTTCCAAAGCACTGTGCTAAAGAATTGTCCTGGTTGTTACCCATACATATTCATGGTGGTAAGGCATGGGTAAATTAACAAAATATTCACAAGAGACCTGTTATAGGTTGCAAAAGTCACGTCCTATTTGTATTACGAAGCAGACAAGACATCACTCGATGAACCAAATGTGCAGGGCCTGCCCAGCTGCGGTCCTCAGGGGGCATCACATCCTCCACAGCTGTTTAGGGGAAAAGTCCAGCAGGTAGTCACACAAACTGACTCCTTCTGGTGGCGCTGCAGGATGACTCTATGGTGACACCTTCATACCTGTTCCCCGTTTGAATGACAGGAGTGAGAATTTGCTGTGAAGACAAAGGCCAACGCGGACTCCAGAGAATAAGCGGAAACTTGAGAAGTGAAGATTTAGATGGGCAAGGGAAGGGGACAGTGGTGCCAGTAGAGAATTGTGACATCCTGGGGTCGGCCTCGCAGGAGGGTGGTGTCCGCTACCACTGAGCTCTTGTAGCCTGGGAGCCAGCTGGAATCGAGGCCAGGGAGCCGTTACCGATGACATCCAGGTGACCCAGCCGGAATATAATGCTGCTCCACAAAGATTTATTTTCCAAGAGAGGCAGAATCTGGGTCCGTTATCTCTCATCTTACAAGCAACTATATTTACAAAAACATTTTTTTTATTTATTAAAATTCTAAAGATGTCAGAGGACATGACCCCCTGACTGAGGCTGGGAGGGAATGGAACAGGGGAGAAAGGAGAGGCACCGCAGTTCATTTAAATGCCGTCTCTCCCTCCGCACACCCCAGGTGTGTACTTGGTTCCTGAGTGCGAATTTTGGAGTGGCCATTAGAGGACAGTTTCATGCCGTCAAGCTTTGAGGGTGGGCTCTGCTGGCTGTCTGCTCCATGTGAAGGCAGAGGACACAGAAAGGTTTATCCCTCCTGGTCTGTCTTTTTTGTGGGGCTCAAAACAGAAAACACAAAAAGCACCCGTCAGGGAAGTTCAAGCTATTTTGAATAAAATACATAAATAAAGCTTCCCCGGGAAGGTCTTGAGAAACAAGCCCTGCTTTGAGGCGGGGGCGGAGGGTGAGTGGACAAGAGGAAGAGGAGAGTGACCAGGAAGAGCAGGAGCAGGTCTGATTTCAGCCAGTCCTCAAAGCAGGGCGCTGGGGGGTGAAGTGGGCCACCAGGAGGTCCTTGGATCAAGCCAAGCCTCTCTCAGGGCTAGGCTCCAGTTTCACAGCGATGCCAGCCAAGTTGTGTGTTTGGGGCAGAGGCTGGCAGGGGAAGGTGGAGGAGTGAAGTAGGGTGGGGTCGTTGGGCCTGCCAGAGGGCTCTGCTGGAGACCAGGAATCAAGACGGTGTTTCCTGGTAGTTTGCAGAGCCAGGGCCTGCCCAGCTGCAGTCCCCAGGGGGTGGCATACCCTCCACAACTCTTTGGCAGGGTTGTCACACAGTCTGACTCCTTCTGGTGGCCCTGCAGGAGGAGCTTGTGGTGGCACATTCTTTCCTGCTCCCTGCTACTGCCTTCACTCTTGTGGTGGAGAGTCCCTGGGCCAGAGGCAAGTGTGAGAGCTAAGTGCAGGGGTTCTGACAGGTGGGACAATAAAGAGGGCAGGTGGCATTTCAGGCTGCAGACAGCTGGCCACCACCCATTTCCTGAGACCCTGTGAGGGTACCTAGGCAACTTCCACCAGCTCCCTTAAATGATGGCAGTGGCTTTTCAATTGTTTAATAAGTAGAAGTGGAAGGATTTTGATGTGCTTTGTAGTAAAGCCCAGGAAGCTTAGGAGAGACTGTTGGGAGAATTATGAACTTTATAGGTGAGTCTGGTGAAGGTTTAACAATAAGGGAGAGCTTTGAGGAAAGCTTATATTACCATGAACAGAATGTTGCTAGCAATGTGGATATTGAATGTGCTTCTACAGAAGCTTTAAAAGAAAATGATTAATATGTTATTGGACATCAGAAGACAAGTGATCCTTTTGGTAAAGTGGCAAAGAACTTATCTGAATTATGCTTGAATGCTTTGTGGGGATATGGAACTTGTAAGCGATGAACTTGGATTTTTGGCTGGAAGATTTTCAAGTAAAACCTTGGATATGAAGGTGTCTCTTTGTTGCTTAAAGTAAAATGCAAGAGAAAAGATGTAGATATAGTGATGAACTGTATTTGAAAAAAAAAACAAAACCAGAACTTAAATTTTACAGAATCTACTGCACAAACTGAGGAAACATGTCCTGGATCTGTCCCCAATGGTATAATTATACAATCTCTGGATAAATAGACTATTCTGTAGCTGATGGATCTCATCAATCACTGCAGTAGAAACCCTATCAACTTAGACTGAAATGGGCAGAGACAGTCAAATGAAGGAGAGTTGTCTGCATCCTGGAATTCAGTAGGTAGGAAGATGATTCAATGGAATTTCTTGGTTATTATGAATTAAGGTGGTATTAATGAATCCTACCAACTGTACCAACTGCACAAACCAGTCCAAGGAGTATATGACCAGCCATTTCTAATGCCAAACTATGTGATGAGTAACAGATCCTACACCGCAGACCAGATGGCTCCTATGGAAAGCTTCCTGTCTCTACTCAGTTCAGACCCAACTGACTGGTAGCTCTTCTCCCTCCCAGCCCCACCCATATGGGGCTAGGTTTGTGGGTACTGGCTGCAAGCTCAGGTGATTTACATGACCCACATCGGAGCTGCTGGTCTCAAATTCAAGTTATTTTCTCTACCCACCTCAGGGTACTAGCTACACGCTCCCGAGTCCACATGACTCCCTCCACTTCACACTAGTCAACCTGGAAAACTCCTTTGGGTCACACCCTTCGCTAGAACAATTCATAGAACTCACGGAAATCACCGTACCTTTGATAACAGCTTTTCTGTAACAATAACAACAACAAAATGATACAAATGAGATCTAGAGAGAAAGATTTGGGAGGAGTCTCAATATAAAGTTTTCATGACCCAAGGGGACACACCACCCCCTTAAAGGCAGACTCTCATCAGGCTCACCACGTGGCCACGATAGATTACATTATGCTATGTGTCCTCTTCGGCCCAGGCAGTCCCATGGGTAGTTCAGCTTTGAGGAACCCAGGACAAATGGCCACATTACTTTTCTACACCTCACAGTTGTCAACATCTGTTGTTTTCTAAACAATGGATGCCTCACTTCCTAGCCCTCAAAGAGTCAGGTTGACACCCCTGTGATTCCCCGGGGGTTGGACTGCTGCTCAAGTGGACCGAGAATGGGGCTGTTACTCAAAGTGGGAGGAGACAGGGCTGCCATTCCAGGGAGTCAAGTGAAAGAAGCCATCTAATGTTGAAGGGTGGGATCACCATTTATATAGACCAGGAGAATGGCCCAAAGCCACAGCAGTGGGGTGTTTCCATCCCAGTGGGCCAGGAAGATGGTACCGATGCCCAGAGTCAAGAGCCTCTGCCTCAAATCCAGAGAGCATGACCCATGTCCAGAGCTTGAAGGGTGGAGCCATTGCTCAGCTGTACATGGAAAATGGAGGTTTAGTGTCAAAGGTTGTCTTGCTGGGCTTTGGACATGCTTGGTACCTATGTGACATTTCCTTTTACTCCAGATTTTCCCATTTGGGCATGGAAATGTCTACCCTGTGTCTGTCCTGCCATTCTTCTTTGGAAGCAGATAATTTACATTTAAGCTTCACAGGCCCACAGATTAAAAAGGAACTTTTCCCCAGGATGGAGCACATACAGAGTCTCACATATGCTTGAGCAACAGGATCCAGAAGATGAGATCTGGGACGTAGAGTTTACATTGCATTGGGAAAAGTTTGGGGGTGATGTGATGGTGTGAATGTGTCTTGAACATGAGAGGGACATAAATGTGGGGGACCACGGGGTGGGAGCTCTGAACTAAATGGTGTCTCCTTAAAATATATGTTTGGGATCCTGGTTCCTACACCTCTGGATGTCATCCTATTTGGAAATAGGAGTTTCTTTTTATGTTAATTAGTTCAGACCTGAGTAGAGTAGGTTCTCAATCAAATCATTCTGAATGATCAAAAGTGCAGACTGGACAGAGAAATAAGCACACAGAGAGAAGACAGATGTTATGGATGGACCATCCAGGAACACTCAGGAATCTACCTGGGCAAGACCCTGATTCAGACGTTAAGACCTCAGTACTGTGAGAAAATACATCTCTGTTCTTCAAAGCCATCCACTAGTGGCTTTTCTGGGATACATGGCAGCACTTAAGAGACCACTGGGAGAAAGACGGGGCTTTCTACTCCTGTACAGAGTGACAGGCTCGGGGACCCACAGGGTCAGTTCTGCTCTGTCCCATTGGCTTGCTATGAAGAGGCTTTGGCTGGGATGGCAGTGAATTTGGTTAAGGTTTTCTTTAAGGGACCAAGACACTTTCATGGGAGACAAAGGAAGGTGAGAGGAGTTGAGATGTCTCAGGGAAAAAACCCAAAAAGCAGAATAGGTAAGAACGATATTTCTAAAAGTTTTCCTCTTTAAAAATGGATGTCATGCTTCAGGAGCTGATGATTGGTCAACGCTGACAATAATTTCCTGTGACTTCAATAGACCCCTTTGGTTTATGGATAATAGGATAAATTGCCACTCAAGTGTGCGGAGAAAACTGATTAGCAAATCACAGCAAT